TGTGTGTATTAGCACAGGCTTTGTCCTATGTGTGTTCTTGATGCAGCTGCCTGGGAAGCCATAAGGCAGACATTTGCTGTTAGGTAGCAAATTAGGGACTGCTGTTAGGTATTGCTAGGGACACACTGTGCACAATCTCTCTTCCCCTCCCTTTTTTATTTCTTTTCTTTTGGCAGTGCAGGCTTTATCTGGTGATCCATGGTGTTTCACGATAATAATAGCAAAAAGGGAAAAAAACTTCTACTTTGAGGAAAAACATCTGAAGTTTGGGGATGTTTCTCCCTTATGTTCCTTTTTCTTTGATTTCAGGCATCTTTCAGAGGATGAGCAAGCAGAGAAAAATTACTACCTGGCTGGAGGAGAGGAATTCTGATTTACCTGGTTTAGATTAAAGTCAGCAGATTTCCGTTTCCAAATGGCAGTGCATTGGATTTCTTGCTCAGAATAAGGAAAAATGTAACATCCCACTCTACGGTTGGCAAATTTGCAGCAAGGACCCCATTGAAAGCTGGTGGCTTACATCTCACATAACTTGAAATAAAGGAGTCACTCACACATTCATAATCAATACAATTACTTCTACTTTACATGAATTAAGTAATTTGTATGGCATTACTGTTTGGGGCATTTGTATCCCTATTCAGAGCACTTCTTCAGTATTTCAGTCCCACTGATGGTAAAGGCAGGTGCATGCCAGTTACCCACAAAACCAAGGCAAAGCTCTATGGGGAAAGTCTTTTATGTCCATCTAGATTTGAATTTGTAGTCTCTTTCCAATTACTGTGCTAATTGTTTAAGAGATTGCTAGACTAAAAAAGTTTTTAATCACTAATCTGTTTTTGAAAGGAACTTATGGGCTCAAAACCTGAACTACATACTTCTTAAATTAATTTTCTTCGTGAATACTTCTTTCTCAATACAGATTTGTGAGTCAGAACACCCTACTGTGCTTGTTTCTTTGTCTTTTCTTCAAACACCTGGCCTATTATTCTCCCTTTTTCCCCCCCAACAAAATCGCTTGCTCTTTGTAGGCAAGGTTCTGATGATATTATGTCAATGGAAATAAGGAAATTTATCCAACATCCTATGGTACCAGAACTGAACTTGGACCAGAGAACAAACTGAAAATATTTGACAGTTTAGCCAAATGTGAGTCCCCTAATAGAAATATTTATCAATGTTTCCTGAAGAGATACTAATATGCTTGCAGAACACCTCAAAAAATTGTGATGTGGAGGGTAAAGTCAAGAGGTTTAATTTGAAGATAAAAGTTTTTTTCTCAGTGTTTGTAGAAGGTGGATGGGGTGGGATTGCATTGAGATTTCTCTGTGGCTTCGGAAATCCTCCCATATATTTTTGTTTTCAAGAAAATCAGATGAACCCAATAAATAACCAGGGCTTCAGGCCTCCTTCAGCTGAAATCTGTGCCAGGAAACAATTTTGATGTCACCCAGAGAAGGGTGACTGCAACCCTTCTTTATTCAGAAGAGAGGCATAGGGACAAATCCTCAGTCTCAATCCAGGTCATTGCAGGCTTTGCCTAAATTTGGACTAAAGAATTTAGTGCAGAAGGCAAGATAAAATGTCAGGAAATAGTTGCAATGTTCAGTGTGAGACATGCTCTGTAAAATGGCTGACTTTTTAGGATATGGGAGGTTGCAGACCTTATTGCCCTGAGAAAAACTAGGAAAGCAGATGTCCCTGCTTGATTAATAGCAAAGGTGTTGACCCCATGTGCAGCTATGAAACTAGGCTGAAGGTTTTTCAGTTAATTGCTCCCCCACATTTTTTTAGATGTAATTTTAGTACTATATCCATAAAAGCTGGTAATTAAGCCTCTTTATGTAAAATTAAAACAGACTGAATTAGTAAACCTTCTTCCCTTGTGATATTTTATTGTAAAGTAGTAGTAACTAACACGTAAAACTTTCTGAGTTTTGGTTATGAACACTCTGTGGTTCCTAAGCTGATTTCAAGTGTTGTCCTATGTATTTATGTTCATAATACCATTAGTTCTCACAGCTGGATTTCAAGTCACATGGAAGAATGGAAATTTCTTGGGAGGACTGGTTGAAGCAGAAAAAATGAAGTCACCTTAAAGAAAATCTCTCTACATTTCAAAGTAAACCCAGATGAAACATCAGGAAGCTGTGTTCTCTACCTGTACCTGTTGGGAACTGCTGATGATTGCAGACACTGGCTCCTGCCCAGATGGCACAGGAATGGCAGCTCCTCCTTAACCAGGAACAAAATCTTTGCTCTTCTGCCATGTGTCAAATTGGGCACAGTAGCTTGGAGCTGCAGAGCCTTACAGAAGTGTACACCAAAGGAAACAGTCTTGGCCCCAGTGTGACATTGGGAAGAGTTCACAGCTGCCAGGGGAGTGGTACCCAGCAGGTGCTTGGCTGTGGTCTCAGTAGGAGAGGAGGATGTCTTGGAGAGGCATGCCCTCTTGTAAGGAGAATCAGGACAAAGCAACACCCAAACTGGCAAGGCTTTAGGAACCGACCCTGCTGTCCAGCCCAGTTCCTACAGTGGTGCTGAAGTGGCTGTGTGTGCTGGGTGGAGGTAGCAGCTCCCAGCTCTGGCAGGAGCAGTCATGCATGTGAGTGAAGTTACTTGCCCTCTGCGTATTTAATTGCTGTCTCTGAAATTATTTCTAGCCATAGCTATTGGAAAAACTTTGTAGATGGATAAAAGTTATCTGTGATGTAACTGCTGAAATTTAACTTGCGAATTTGATTCCCCCATACCTGAGTGAGGTATCTGTTGCCCTCTGGTCAGTGATGAAGATTTTGGTGATAACACAGGACCTACTATTTCATACAATGTATTACATGAGCCTTCAGCTCTTATTTTTCATATGCTGCTTCTGGTGAACTTGTCTAGAAATGGAATTCGGCAAAAATACCCAAGTTTTATTATTATTCCAGAGTTCTTTTCTTAATGGCTCATGGCAAATGCAGGACAGTTTCTGCTACTTTAAATGAAACAGTGAGTCTCCTTTCCTGCAGAACCTCTCTGCATTGCAAGAGAGAGACACTGGTGGCAAGGAAAGATACCACAGAAGCTTGTACAGAACAGGAGTTGTGTAATGACAGTTTTCAAGCCATTAACCTACTTAAAAGGTTTATTTGGAACAAACTCAACACTTGAGTGGATACCTTGTTGTGCTGCCAGTTGGCAGCCTGGGCCATGAGAGTGGACTGGTGGAAGGAAATAGCTGTTGTGGAAGAAACACACTCAAACTTTGTGTGAGAGGTCCTGCTTACTTCTCTTCCCCAGTCTCTTGCTGCCTGACTCACAGCACAGCCCTGCTGTAACTTGAGTAGGGAGCTGGCTTTTCCTAATAGCTGAAATTCTGCCTTCTCCTGCCTGTGCTACCAAAGAGGTCTATGAACCCAAATAGAAATACTTCCACTCTTGTGGAAAGTGATGCGTATTTGTGTTTGACTCAGCAAACTTCCTTCTTCCTTGTCCTGGAGCTAAGTACAAGCTTGGTGCAGTCTCCAGAAGCAGCAGCAATGTAGCTGGAGCTCTGCACCTCAAACTCTAGCTGAGAACACAACTGTGTAGTCTTAAGAGTAGGCCCAGAGCTGCCTTGTGAAAGAAGTTCTAAAATACACAAAATCTTTTCAGTGTGAACGTGTTTGCGAAAACAGGCAGCATCAGTGGAGGAGTTCCATGCTGTCCCATCAGCCACAGGAATAGTTTGCTTGGTCCTTTGCTACAGGTGTGGGAAAGGTGACCTCCATGTGCAGCCAACTGTTGGTCTTCCTTTTGTTGCTGTGAAGCAAAAATTAGCACTTACATAACTCTGCCAGAGTTGTGTTTGTTTAATGAGTCCTCACAACAGCCCTGTGAGGTAGGCGAGTGAGAATGAGGAAACGATGACCTATCCTCACTTTTCACTGAAGCACCAGGAGGATACTACATATCCTCACTTTACACTAAAACATCAGACCTGTGGAGAGTTCTTCTCAGTCCCATGCCATGTATGGGGAAATTCAGCAAAGACTTTAAAATGACCTGTTGTGGAGTCCAGGGTTGTGATGGACTGTAGACTCCTGCTCAGTAAGGCCTCTGTTTTCACTCATTTCAACATTGGTCCAAGGAAGAATTTAACACTTCACACTGAGTATTCATTTAAACTCTGAAACTACTCAAGGCATGAAATGTCTCAAAATATACAAGTAATCTGTTAACCCACTGATCTGGTAAGGCGTGCCAGAAAGCTTGCTAAAAGTATTCAGCAACCTCCTATTTACAGCTATAAGCTACTGATTGACATGTATGTACATACACAGAGAGCTACACACAATTACTGCACACTCCTAACCTACTTTCACAGGATACAGTTCATGTACAGAGGTTAAACTTTCATAGTTAAAACATTGCCACCCTGAACATAAAGAAAACTTTTTTTTTTTAATTTGAAACAAGGTACTCTTTACACAAACCTAGTTCTGAATGAAAAGCCCGTACTGAAAATAGTCCTCATCTTGTTCCTGCTAAGTTTGTCTAGAATGCAATATTTCACTGGCATTTGCACTTCAACATGAAGCATGGTCTCCAAGTTAATATCTGTGTACTGATTCTCAAGTAATGCATGTAAGAGTTCCTCCTGAGAAGTTAAGACTTGCTTAGAAAAGTGGTTACTCCTACAAAGAATTTGGAGCCTTTGGACTATCTTCTGGTGATTTCAGTGATTTCAAAGCTTCACATACATGTTAGCCTGATTTACAAAGATGAGATAGTTCCTGCTTCTGTTTCTGCTGTGCAAGAAATTATACAAGCCAATTTACCACCTGATTTTGTGTTGTAATGCAGGAAAACAATGTTTAGCAGGTTTATTTCCTTTCAGTCTGTCACTGAAGCTGCAGGAAATAGAGCTCTGTGTGTGTGTGTTTTCTTTTTTTAAATGTGTCTCTCTAATGAGAGCTACTTATTGGAGAAGGCATTCACTTTCCCCTCCGTGGCTGTAGTCTGTGGGAGAGCTCCTAACAAAGTTCTTTGTTAGTGTTTGTAAGACTGGAGATGAGGTTTAATTGAGGGATTTGTGCTGAATGTTCCTTCGCTTTGAGTCTTAGTGCTGCAATGCTTGACGTTTTCCTTTCAACTGCTGCTGGATCAGTGAAGGCAGTGAGAACAGGGTCTGACGGGGGTCCAGGAGCTTTCATTAGTACTGAAGCTGTTGTCACGAGAGGATTTAAAGCATTGAGAAACCTGTATTTGAAAGAAGTCAATATTATCCAAATTAAGAATTGTTTTGGAGAACAAATACTTACTGAGTTGAAGCTTTCCCCCACCAAAGTATTAGTAAAAAACCCAACAAGTATTAGAAAAAAAAGTTCCAAAATTTCCAATTTCTTCCAAATGTACGTTTTTTTAGCTTTATTTTGCAGTATAGCATCTTGCCCTTTAAAAAAAAAAGCAGAAAATCCCACCCTAAATAAAAACCAAAACACTTTTAAATTAAATGAACAAGAGATGATTAGGCATGGCATGCAGATATTTAATCCATCAACCATTTGCTTAACCCCTCATGCTAAATCCTTTCTAAACAAACCTTGGATGCTGTAGATCAGCCTGTTCTGTGAAAGCAATAAACCACCCCATAAAAAGACCAATTTATATAGCTGTTTATGCAGACAATTTGTTCAGAACAGTTGATTCAAGGTGAAAAGCATTTGTTTATTTGTTAAGGTAGTACTAAGATACAAACTCTAATTTCAGCAAGAGTGCTATCTTCTATTTCTTTATATATTTGTATATACTTATATATAATACATAATGTATTTACATATTTTATATATAATGCATTTATTCTTGAGAGAGAGCAAGAGAAAAGGATGGAGCTGCAGCCACACAGGTCACAGCAGTCTGTATGAAGATTAGAGTTCAGTGAGACCAAAATTGCAGTAAGTATGCCCAATTTGTCTATATAAAGCAATTACACATTCAGATTTTTTTAGCATGACTTAAACCCAAATCTTGCTATTCCTAATCAAGTGATCCTACACAGGAACTAACCCTTTTTAGTAAGTTTATTGAGAACATGCGAGTAGCAAAATAATATAAATACAACATTTTTAACAGTTTTGAGATTGAGAAAAAAGAAAATTATTCTATACCTTCCAAAATGTGGATTTAATATAGGATTTCTGAAGAGGGATGTCCACGTAAGACTGCTGAGGCCAAATGGCCCTAAGGTTGAAGGACTGAAAGCTGGGGACGTGGATGGCACAGCCAATGTTGAAAGAGGCATTGACCTCCACGTGTGATCTAGGAGGGGAGAATGACTCAGTGGAACATCCAAAAACAGACCAAGTGGGTGTGTCAAGGAGATTCCCGGAACAGTCCCCAGAATTTCATTTTTTTCACGTTTCCTCCACTTTGCCCTTCTGTTTTGGAACCAGACCTTAAATAAGAAATTATAAAGGCATTAGCTGAACTTACTCTGCAGTTTGTCTTACCAAATACTACAGCACATATTGATATGGGTAGCAAAATAATTACTGTTAAACCGAGCTTCACTTCTTGAATATAAAAAAGTTCTTTTCATAAATGCCTTATTGGGTTTATTACAAAATAAATTCCTTTTAAATATTGAAAATTTGACTACTTTCTGACTGAAGAGTCACATATGTTTTAAAGTCATTGTAATATATTAACTTATCACCTGAAATGCAAGAGCAATTATTAGAAATGATCATTCTTCCTTTCATAACCTATTTATTAAATTTCAACAAAGCCATTCAACAGGTGGCAATTATAATACAATACAAAAATGGTTTTCCGAGTGTTTTAAATAGCATCTACAGTATTTAAAAAATCAGGTTTTGGGAGACGCAGCTTGCTTTACCTCAGCCAATGCCCTTTGAGCATTTCCAGCAGTGTAACTTACCTTCAGGTGCTTAAATAACACCAAGTGTGTTTGGGAGAAAAGCCCTCCACACACCGGGGCGCTGATCCCCAAACAAGGCTGCAGCATGCCCCAGCCTTGCTGTGCCAAGCCTGTTGTTGTTTCTCTCAGTCAGCAACAACTGACTTTTTCAAAGCACTTGCTCTGGGGTTCTCAGGGTCCAGCTGAAGAAGTACTGTGCTAGTCCTTTCATTGCATGCAGTATATTTACACCGGGAAGAATCCTGGAAGAGGAATTTCTACCCCTTGGGTTACCTGTGTAACTCAGAACTGTCTCGCTCACAGGCAGTCAGCAGAGGGAGGTGCGCTCAGCAGAAAGTCAGAACACCAAAATTTTGAAGTTGGTACTTGAAATTCTTGAGTGTTAAGACTCATTCTTTTGTCTGTCCTCCAGCAACCATCAGCTTTCAATAGTCAGATGTCTTACAAAGGAGTATCTGAACCTGTGAAATGCCAGGCAGCTATGCCTGCATGGCAGTGTGGACCAGATATTCCATCAGTATTAGTCCAAGACAGGGGTCTGGTAGGGAAAACTAAATTGATGGGATCAGATGATTTTAAATCACTGTTAACCAATAATCCTAAATATTGCTAAGTGGAGATATTGGTAAGATAATATTGGTAAAATCTCACAGGAGAAGACCACCAACTCAAAGGTGTTAGTGCTTCCAATGAAAAAAATCCAGTTGAAAAGGCAATAACTGTCTCACACTGAGATATGCAGATACAGCCATTCCTAAAAAGGATAAATGCTGCAAGGGTCCATGTCCTTACTAAATCTTAGCACTGTTCTTCAATCTGTTCTTCATGAAGAAGCCTAACACAAAATTAAATATCTGCTTTTTTATGCTTTCTCCATTCTAAAGTAAATCCATTGGATCACTCAGAGATGCAATTTGACTACAAAATAGTTATTTTTAAAGTTACAGGTAATTTTGAGCTAAACCCCAAAAGTTAATAATCTCTCAGATTTTGTATTTCTCAAACTGGAAGGAAATACCAGCATAGATATCTAATAATTACTGTTAGAAAAAAGCTGGCTTTCCATTCCTTATTGGTACAAACTCATCAGTTCCAGTGATAACAGGAGTAGACCAATGCCTCATACCTTAGACTGACATGACAAACAGCTTTCAAATTTTACTGCACACATTATAGTCATTAACATTCAGATTAGTCATCTTGAACCTTTTGTTAATAATTTTTCCTTTGCTTCTGATAGAAGGCTTAACTTGCCTTTATTATGTTTTCAGACACATCTGAAGTAACAAACTAACCATAACAGAAACTGCTATACCAGTCTTAAGATTTTTATGACTGTAATATCAATGGCAAAATACTCTAGAAAAAAAGTATTGCTTAATCCTCAAAAATAAGTTTTAAACCATCAAGTCTTGAATTGCATGCTAAATATTACCCAGATTATATTTGCAATCACTAGCATCGTGCATATCTGACAAGAGATTCAGGTCTTCTATAAAAGAAAAGGTGAGCATGTAAAATTGGATTGTTTTCTTGCTGTAATTTTCTTAAAAAAAATATCCTATTTAATTGATGTAATACCTAATTATGCTAAAAAGATACATAGATGTGCATAACTGCATTGTGTTTCTGCTGTAAGTGAATAAGAGGATTGTAATGAGAAAATATGACAAAGATGTCTAGAGCAGTTATATCTGTGAGCCAGTGTCTTAAAAATGATGCAGTTTATGGCAATGAAATACCCATGAAACCTTTTACCCCTCAAGTTAAACAAGATAAAAAATTCCTTTAACTTTTTCTTATTTTCTTCCCATCCTAACAATATGAATAATGAGAAACATGAATGGCAACAATAGATGCAAAAACCATTGAAGAGCAATCCCAACATAGCTCCAGGTTATAAAAAGGTTTTGCAGACTCTCTGACTACCTCTTTCCAAAGGTAAGGAATGCCCCATCTCCCTTATTCTATTAAAGTACATAAGGGGTTGTTGGGTGAGGGCGATCTCTTTGAAATGATGATGGAATGAGCATACATTCATGCCATTTTTTTCTTATTTGTTCACTTTTATGTAAGACTCAAAAGGCAAGAGGAGGAACAATGCAGTGGCTGGTACCCATTTCAGCTGGTTGTCAGAGGGCTCTCCCCAGCGAAGCAAACCTCCATTTGTAAAACACACTGATGTGAAGAAATGGTCTGACTGCATTGGGTAAGATTAATTTCTCGAGTTTACACTTTACTAAGTAAAGAGATATTGCTTTCCATGTCAGCTGATTTAGCCAGGTACCATGGGAGAGAATTGGAAAACTTCGTCTTACACAGGATGCCCTATAGAGCAGCTATGAGCATGAGCATATGTGGCAAGTATTTGGTAATTATGGCAGTTTAAGTACAGTGCATCAGTGCTATTCCTACCCATCCCCTTCCCACCAGGCTGAGCCCAGATTCCCACAGGATAGGAGCTGGGGCTTGGCTCTGTGAACTGCAAGCACACACTAAACAACTGGGCTGACTCCGTGCTTCTTACTCAGAATACTTGTGTGAGATCTAATATATTAATGAGGCAATGAGCTACCAGGAACAGCTCTTTGCAGCTCCTTCCATCCACTGGGCATACATCAACTCTGTTATTTTTCTTGTTAATTCATTTTTGGCTCCATCAAACACAAATGTTTCCACTTTTCTTTTTTTAGATGAGTCATTAGAAGATGAGTTCCTCTTTGTCATGTACTACTGCACCATTCCTTCACAGGGTCTACAGAAAATGTACCCCACAAAGGGAATTTGGCAGTAACAGTTAAAGTATCAGCTTTTCACCCATGCCTTTTTCATTGTAAAATGCCATGTGCAATTGTCAGAGACTGGGGCATGTCAGTGGCTAGAGGTTTTAGTCATTGTTGGTGTTAGGAAGAGTGGAGGGTACATAATTTCCCCCAAGTCCACAAAAGAGAGCTGAAAAGCTCATCTAGGTATTTGAGTCAATTATAAAGTACTATTCATACTTCTAATGCCTTTTAAAAAGATGGTGCATATTAAAATAAAAAGCTAAAAAGTTTCAGTTTTACAGACTGAAACTGTGGTGTGAACCATCTAAGATCCAGTGATTGAAGTAATGACAAAGTATCCAAACAAGGATCTGGCATTAACAATATCAAAGCTATGCAGTAGTAAGCAGGACTGTCACACTGAGCAGCTGCACCAGTTCTCAGTCTTTCATAAGTAGGCACATACCCAGAGTTGTGCTGGAACAGTCAATATCTGATCTACAGCACAAGCCAAATCTAGTACAATTGTCATTTGCAGCTTATAAATACTAGAAAGCCTTCACACCTTCTGAAACAACTTTTAAAATTTTTTAAATTTTTTTTTTTAAGGCTATAATTTCTGTACAAAAAGGGGATTTCTAGGTTATCAAGAGATGAATCTAAAGAAAAGGGGTTTTAAGGGATATTGTTAAGCAGGAGTGCACAGAGTCAGGAAAAGTTACTAAGGGTCGTTCGTAGTTTGAGCAAACTGCAGCCCACAAGTGATTCGTGTCTGAGTGTGCTGAAGTTCTACAGGCACTGCTGCGCTCACAGCCCAGCTGGGCATAAAATTCTCCTGGACAAGACCTGACTGTCATATATGAATGCCAAATTAATTTTTCATTTGTTTTAGCCAGTCATTTAGAAGTGTGACTGTTTTATTGAGCTAAGTTAGACCAAGAGAAGGATATTAACTCTGCAGCCTCAGTACTTAACTTTAGTTGCCTCACAGAACCCTTCATTTTCTGGGAACAACTTAATTTATTCTTTTTTAATCCTCTTTTAAAACTCAGGAGACAGTACGTGCCTTTCGACCCATGAAGGCGGCAGCACAAGCGGGACAGAAGCGTAACCTGGGAATGTTCTTGAGCCTCCGCTTCCCCGCCGCGGTGGGAGCGCTCCCCTCCCGCGTCCCTTCAGCACCACCCGCCGCGGACAGGACGCGAGCCCGGCACCGCCGCCGCTCCCTTCTCGCCCGGCTGGACAAGAGCGAAAACGCGCTGTGTTCAACCTCCTCCGGCCCTTCGTCCCCTCCGGCACTCACCTGCACCCGGGCTTCCGTCAGGTCAAGGCGCAGGGCCAGCTCCTCTCTGCGGGAGGAACACACAGTTAGAGCCGGAGCTCGCCCGCCGCCCGGCACGGCCCCGCCCGCCGCTACCTGGTGAACACGTCGGGGTAGTGGGACTTGCAGAAGGCGCGCTCCAGCTCCTCCAGCTGGAACGTGCTGAACGTGGTGCGGTACCGCCGCTGCTTCCTCTTGGCCGGACCCGGTGCCTCGGAGCCGGGCGGGCGCTCCTCCGCCTGCGGCTCCTCCGCGGGGCTGCGCGCTCGGCCGGGCCGCGGCGTCTCCGCGCGTTCCGCGCCTGCGGGAGACAACCGGGGACTTACCGGGGCTGGGGGCGTGGAGCGACCCCGCTGCCCCTCACCGTGCCACGCTCCCCGCCGCCCCTCACCGTGCCGGCCCGCGGCGGGGCCCCGGCCCAGGATGCTGTCGATGAAGTAGGAGGTGAGGAGGTGCAGGGCCGGCGGGGCGGGGGCCGCGCTCTGCATGGCTGCGGGCAGGGCCCCCGCGCCGCGCCGCGTTTTATGGGCGCGGGCAGCGCCCGGCTCGGCGCCCCGGCATTAGCATTTCATTAACGCGTGGCGTCAAGGCCGGGGGTGGGACGAGCCGTGCCCCGCTCGCCGCGCAGGAGCCGGGCCGCCTCCCCCGGGCGGGCGCAGAGAGCCGCCCCATCGGAGCTGCCCTACGGTTCACGGCCCCGGGGCCGTACCGCCCGCTCTCTCCGCTCCCGCAGGCCGGAGGGAACTTTTTCAAGCCTCGTTCGGGGGCGCGGAGCGGCTGCGGTGAAGTTGTGCCGTGCCCGGCTCCTCCAGAGCTGCGGTTGGGTCCGCGGTGAGGCCGAGAGACCCCGGCTGAGACCCGGCAGTGAGGGGAAAGAGTCACCAGTGTTTACCTTTATTGCTCCTGATGAGCTTACACTTGTTGAATTCAGCTTTTTAAGGGTGACCTTGCAAAGTACTGTGTGCCGGCAGGTGAACAGAAAGTGCACAAACCCGTGGAAGACTTGAGTCCTTTTTCCTGGAGATCTCTAATTCCACTCCTGCTACAATTCTGCTGTCGGTGCTGTTACAGCAATGGTTCCTCAGCAGGAGGCCTGGAAATGATTTCCTGCACAGAGAGACCTCCAGCAGTTCTGTGATCTTACTGTGGTGTACTCATAGAGACTGCCATAAATCAGATCACAAAATTACTTGAGCCTGAGATCTTGATTTAGGGGGATGAGAATGAAATGCTACTTTCTAGAGAGTCAGAAAAGGGCTAAGAACCCCCAAACCCCAAAACTAATGGCTGAAAGCTGAAGCCAGACAAATTTAGATTAGAAATGAGGCAAAGATTTAAAAATCTATGTGTTTATATTTAAGTTTTGAAACAAAAGTGGCGGAGTTCTGAGTTCTCTGTCTTCATATCAATTAGTTTACATTCTAGCTGAAGAAATAGAGGCTGTCAGTGCAGAAATGCTTCCTGACTCTGACCTATCAAAAATCTTTTGGTTACTTCTGGCATTGCAGCCCACAGGCAAATTTCTTTCTGTTTTTTCCTCCTCTCCTCTCACCTCACTGGGGCTGTGTGACTGCTTTAGTGCTTCTGTCTTTGTACTGATTTTGTACAGATCTCCTTTCTGTCTGCTCTGCTGCAGGGCTCTTTGACTCAGACCTTGACTTCATTCCTTCCACTACAACAATTTGGTTTGGCCTGAAGCAATACCTTTGTGGACCTATTTTGCCTATTCCTGTGACATCCTCCATGAGAAGGCTTTGGACAACACTTTGTGATGCTAACTCTTGAAAAAGTAAGGTGCCTGTATGAAAGGTAACTCTGGGTAACATGTACAGAAAGTGGGGTTTTACATGGTGTTTTCTTGGCATTTCCTAATTTCCTAATTTATTGCCCTATCTCGATCCTAAGCTCTAAAGCCCAAACTGCTACATTCACAGGACCTTAATTGTGTTCAAAGACCTAGGGACTCATTTGTGTTGGGAAAAACAATGACATCCTATGGACCAAATGCTGTCAATTCCAGGAAACAAGATTTGAATGATGTAATTTCCTCTGACTAAAGAAACTGTCACAACTTCATAAGGAATGTCCTGGATGTGAAATAGACAGTGATATGCTTGTTTCATGGTTACAAATGTGTTACAGTCACACAGGTGTCTATGGTCAAAGAGAAACTCCTGCATCTTGGAGAGCATGCCCAGGAATTCCAATGGGATCTCCCAGGAGCCAGAAGTGACTAACATTTTGTTACTTCTGTGTTCCGTACAAACCCAATCTGTGAACAGCAGCAGATAAAACTTCTCTGAGGAGCTGCAGGGGTGGCTTCTGTGAGAAGTTTCCCCCACATTCAACAGGCCAGTGCCAGCTGGTACCGGTTGGACATGCTGCTGACCAAAGTTGAGTTCATCAGCAATGCTGGTAGCACCTCTGGGACAACGGAATTAAGAAGAGGGAAAAACCTGCACAACAGCAACTGCAACCAGAGGGAGGAGTGAGAATATGAGAAGAACAGCTCTGCAGACACCCAGGTCAGTGAAGAAGAAAGGCAGGAGGTTCTCCAGGTGCCAGAGCAGAGATTCCCCTGCAGCCTGTGCTGCAAAGCCATGGTGAGGCAGCTGGGACCTTGGAGCCCATGGGGGTCCATTGTGGAGCAGAGATCCAACTGCAGTCCAGGGAGAACCCCCAGCTGGAGCAGAAAGATGTACCCAAAGGAGTTTATGACCCTGTGGGTACCAGTGCAAGAGCAGGTTTGCTGGCAGAACTTGTGACCCCATGGGGAACCCACTTAGGAACAGTCTGTTCCCAAAGGACTGCAGCCTGTGGTGGAAGAGACCCATATTGGAGCAGAGCCAGGACAGCTGACCCCACCTGACCAAAGGGATGTCCCAGACCATATGATGCCTGCTCAACAATAAAGGCTAAGGAAAAAGGGTGTAGAGCATTTATTATTATGAAATTTGTCTTCTAGAACAGGTGCTACGTGGGCTGAAGCCATACTTCCCCAAAAGGGGCTGGACATTGTCTAATGGGAAATAGAGAATAAATCTTTTGTCTTCCTTTGCTTCTGTGCCTGGGCTCTGGTTTTGCATCATTAAACTGTCTTTACTTTAATCCATTATTATTTTCATCCTATTTTCTCCTCTCCCAGTCAAAGAGGGAAGACAGCATCTTGGTAGGCAACTTGTGTTTAGCCAAAGCCAACCCACAATACATTTGTGTTTTTCAGATGTCCTCAGGCAGGTCACATTTACACTGCTGACTGATGTTGAGTAGTCATTTTTGATTTGTATTGTGTCTTGTCATGAGCTGAGCAACCTGTGTCATAGTTGCTGCATAATGCCATTGAAAATTCCCTAAAAGAGTGTGATTTAAATACATTTTCATTACTTTGTGCTTAACCAAGCTTGTTGCTACTGCTTTCTTGGTTTTCTTTGACTCCCATACAAAGTAAAATGTGACAAATGAGTCATAAAGCTTGCCTTGTCCATGGAGTGTTTGAAAGATGAAAGGAAGCATATGCATCTGTTTGTGGATGACAGCAGAGTTGCAACTGTATGAGGGGGCACTGGTGTTTGCAGTGCTTGAAATGTCTCTTGGCACGCTAATGATGTATTTCAGTATTCTTTATGCTGCCTTAAATACATAAATATATGTTAATGAAGTTTAATATTTCGGCTTAGAAAACAATCCTGTCCATATCTACATTGAAAAAAGTTCTGAGATGAAATATGTGATGAAGTTAAGAGGAAAAATGTGTTGAAGAGTGTCCAAGGAGTTGGTTTGATAGCTCAGCATGGATCTTTATTGGCTTGAAGAAGAAAAATAGCTACTAAATTGAGAATTAAGTGCAAAACTTGGGTAAAGCAGAAGTGATTCTGATGGGAGCTCTGCACTGGCTGTGGCTGATGTCCTAGGAAGCAGATGAAAAGTGCCGAACATCTTTAATGCCAATATACCTCTTTGGATTGATATTATTTGGATTCATATTCTTATTAACACCACTATTTCTCATTCTATTTCTGTTTTACACAGAGGCCTGAAGATCTGCATGAACTTGAAGATCACCTCTTTCATTTTATGGGATTAGATCTAGGTTATGTGTGGCAATCCTGTAAATACTGGGGAAATGCAAGACTCAATGTTGTGGTACAGCCTTAGTTGGTTTCTCTCAAGCCAATTGATAATTATTACACCAGCTGCACCACAGTGCAGTAACTCTTTTGTAATGGAATCACAGTAAGCTGGTTTCCCATTTCAATTAATAACCTGTGAAAATAAAGTAAGTGCTTTTTGCTGATTAGGCATACGTGGCTGCTTGGAAAAAATGTGTGTGCAGTACATGGCAATTCAGCTTCCCTTTCTGTGCTGCATATTCAAAAGTACAATAAAATACTAGTTGAAAGAAGAATAAGATAAGAATTGGAATGTTGCTGACTATGGAGAAGGCATTGTGTTGAGATGGCAGACACTGCTGTCACTACTCATTCTGACCAACCCACCTGGAGTAGATGTCCCTCTTTTGTGTCCCCATCCAAATCTCTTGGCAGTCTCACTTTCAGATCTCTTCCTTCCCCCTCTTCAGACCTTTAAGTTTATGCAGGCAAATAAACTGAGAGCCTCTGTCTTCCCTTTGTGCATTTGGTTCTTGAAAGAGATGGATTGTCCATGAAAGGCTGGCATGTAAGAGGTTCCTGTTGAAGTGACATGAAAGTGTTGCAAGATACTTGGAATGACTTAAACATACTGCACTGAGTGTTCTCTCAGCAGCTGCTGCAATGCACTGTTTCTCGAAGGCTTTAGATAAAATGTGAAGAGATCTTTAGTGCACAGGTACCACTAGCAGTGCCCTTATGATGAATTAATATTTGCTGGATCTGCAAAAGCCACCCCTTTGGGGTCACAATTAAATGAGGCTCTCATCCCTTCTAAAAGGTAAAAAAGTGTATGTTTTTACATCTCAAATTTTCTAAACTCTGCATTTATGGAGCAAAAAACTGGTAGAACCTAGGGTCCCAGAAGTCTCAGGGTAAATAAAAGGGATGCAATATTTATTTGTTTTTTCTTAGAAAGTGCTAGATAATAGACTAAGAAAAAGGTTCTTATCTTTGTTTAAGGGTTCATATTTTACCCTTTCTGAGGGGTGTCAGTCCTCTATTATGTTTGCATATTCCTAGAGTGAAAATTACTTTTTTTCAAAATTACTTTATTTAGGGGCTGACTATGAATGTTGGACTAGACTTGGAAGACCACATTCCTTCTTCCTTTGCTGGCCATTGACAAAAAAACCACCACTTCTCTCTGCATCATTTATTCATATGTGAAATTGGAATGGTCACACACTCTTTGCTACTAAATTATCTCTGGGAAAACTGGGTATGTTTAGAATAATTCACAGCTGATGTTTACCCATTTACAATTGTAAAATACATGCTACATCCATTCCCTTTTTAAGCCCTAAATATAACCTTGTGTTAGTTTCAAAATGACTGCTGGAAAATTTGATTACTTTTTTCTGTA